CTACATTTTCTCATAAAATTATATACAAGAAATTCTGCGCCTTCAGCATGTTCTCACTAAAATTCAAATCTCCAATCTCCCTTCATTGTCAGTATCAAACCACAGAAGGATATCCTTAGGTGACCTTCAACATGACGAAGTTTGTAGGGGGAAGCACAGAATTACTGTGCTGATGGAATCACATACAACATTAACACCAAGGTTGGCCAAGGACAAGTCCTGGATGAGTGTTTGTTTCTCCCCTCCCTTCTCAGAAAAGGTACATCAGAGCAGAGTCTGGAAGGCTGAGTAGGAGTGAGCCAGACAGACAAGATGGGGCCAGCATTCCGGGAGAGAGAGGAAAACACAGAGGCGTGGAGCTGCGGGAGAGCGCGGCCTGCTCAGGGGGCTGCCGAGGGGAGCTGCAGCTCGGGTCTGTGCAGGGGCCACCAGAGACGGGGGATGCCAGGGGAAGGGGGCTGGACTTGCCTGGAGGATGGCAGAGTCCCGCTGAAGGGCTATAAGCAGGGGGAGGGGTATGCTACCATGTGTGTTTTAGAAGTTCCACCTTGGTGGCCAGGTGAGAGATGGACTAACAGGATGGTGTTGACACGGTGCACCAGTGACAAGGCTGTTCTAGTCTTGAGTGGGCCCTTAAAGTGACACCAGGTAGCCATGCTGTTACTGGTATCAGGATTTCTTTTTCTCCAGTTTGGTAGTTGTGCAGACTTTTTGGGGCCCTGGGGTATTGGAGAAAAGGCTGTAACTGGTCTGGTTTAGAAATAGTTATGAAGGAATTCTCTTAGAAAATGAAAAAGGCTTAGATGTAAGAAACTGCACATAACACCTCACTCTTCATGACAAGTTATTGTTAGGAGAACTAGGGAAACCAAACTGATAATGAGAAATTTTAGAAGATTGAAGATTTCTGTCCTTAGAGGGCCCAGATAGTGTGCTTTGGGGCCCCTTGGCATCTTCTAGTACCTTCACCACCCACAGATCCACCGATAATTGACCAGAGCATTTGAGGCTCTTCATCTTGGCACAGGGTTTGGCTCTGGTCCTCACTCAGGCTGGCATCAATAGATAAGATTAATTAGTTATCTATTGCTACTTAACAAATTACTCTAGAATTCAGCATCTAAAAATATTTAACATTTACCATCTCTCCATTTCTGTGGATCAGGAATGCAATGGGTCTTTCATGAGGTTGCAGTAAGCTGTCAGCCAGGGCTCAGTCATCTGGGACTGGAGGCCCCTTCCGAGCTCACTCCTGTGGTTTTGGCTGGTTGCAGGGCCTCCCCACGTGAGCCTCCCCATGTGGGCCTCCTCACAGGCTGCCTCAGTGTCCTTATGTCATGGTATCTGGGTTCCCCCAGAGCAAGTGACTCCTGAGAGAGATAGTGCACACAGGACAGAAGCCACAGCCTTTTTATACCCTAATCTCAAAAGTGAGCACCACCCCTTCTAGAGGATCCTTTCTGTTAAAGCACATCTCTAAGTCCAGCCCTCAGTGAATGGGAGGGAATGGGAGGGGCCAGAGTTCATTTCTACCTTTTGAAGGGAGGAGGCAAACAAAGAATTTGTGGGTGTATTTTTAAGACCACACCAATGACCCTATTTTAATCTTCAAGAGATGATATGACATAGTGGTTAAGAATGTAAATTTGAGATTCATAAAGAACATAGGAGAGCTGGCTCCCACATTTGCAACTCATGCAGGTTCAGACAAGCCAGTTAACCTTTCCAGATCTCAATTTCCTAATCTCTATACTATAGGGGTAAAAATAGTAGATGTTTCACTGGTTGTCATGAAAATTAAATAAGATCATGCATGTAAAATGCTTGGCACAGAATAAGTGCTGAACAAACATTATTTAATTACTATTACAACTGGATAATATTTTCATCCTCCTCCACAGGAGGTGGAATGACTTAGAGGGTAAGAACACAGGTTGTCGTGTGAGACTGCCTGGGTGGGGACTCAGGCTCTGCCAGCTATTAGCTGGAAGAGCTGGGACAAGTCACTGATTGTCTCCCACCCTGGTTTTCTGCGAAATGAAGATACTAATAGCTAGTGCCTGGACACTGAAGAGGTAGGTGTTCAATAAATATTTTACAAATAAGGACGTAGTAGATGATGACAGAGGGATATAATGACAAACCAGTGTGTGTGTGTTGAAATGCTACATAAGCACACCTCACTTCAAACATCTTCTGTTAACTAAGGAGCCTGGTAGGGCTGTCCTGGTTCCACTCAAAGGGGGCCTTGTACCCTTGAGTGACACCCTCCCTGTGTTTCCAGGTCTACCATCCCTGATGAATTGTCCTTGTCCTCATTGTTCAGCTTCTTTTCCACTCTGGCTTTGTTCAAGCACACTTCCTTCATCCTCCCTGCTCCCTCCTCCAAGAATATGTGTAATTGGCTTTGCACTAGTCTGGGGATTTGGTGACAGGAGGCGGTGGGGGGGGCGTCCCATGTCACACCACCTCGGAGCAGTGACATTACCTTAAATTGATTTTGCAAATGAAAGCTAAAAGCTAAGCAAAGGCGACCCATCCATTTTGCCTAAAGATGATTATTATGCTCTTTTACGGCTTCCTAAATGACAAAGCAGTTTGTTACCTGCCTGCATCAACATTTGCTTATATTAGCATCCGAGATGCTTGATTTTTTATTAGCCCCACGTTATCATTTTATGAAGACGCTGGAGCTCAGTAAAATTAGTGTGCAAATAGAATGCCCGTTTTGCATTTTCCTGAGGTCAGCAGAAATGCTGAATTCAATTGAGTTGATACTGGGTCAGGGGAGACATCCATAAAGGTAGCCTTCACCGAGGGCCCCGGAAATGCTGTTACTCATTTCTGAACTGCCACGATAGATGGGGTCAATGTTCAGCGGTGTTTTTTAAAAAGGCTTCGTGGCGTTTTATTTTAAAGGATGAAGCAATATAAATACTAAGATAATATTTCAACTTCTACCTGGAATAATGGATAAATCCAAACTCTTTTGTGTACATTATAGATGGAAATGCAGAGGATGTAGAATCCCTTTGTTAGTGGATCCGGGAGGAGACAGATAAGGTGGTGAGAGGGGCACTGGGCTGGGAGCCAAGGCCTGACCACCTCAGCTAGCTGTATGACCTTGGGTATGTCTCTTCCATCCACGAGCCTTGGTTCTCCCACTTGTGCATGGGGTCAATACTCTGCAGGTCACAGAAGCATGATGAAGAGTAAATAAGATAATGTGTATCTAAATTTGTTTATAAGCCATGATCTATGTGAGTATTTTTATTTATTAATTTGACAGTTTCTGAGCACCTACTCTATGCAGGGTCTTGGGAAAGACATTAAAAATACAGAATGAAAGTCACCATTTCTCCCTTGAGGAGCTTATATTCCATCTAGGAGAAGTTCAGGTGTCTAACTCTTCTTTTAAATCATAATCTTCTTTAGAAAAGGTGAGTCTTGTTTCTCTGTTTGTTCCTAAAGGTGCCTAATGTAGAGCTGAGTACACAGTGAGTTCTCAAAAGCATACTGACTCCATTATATGTCTTATTAAGGAAGCAGTGACTGCAACCTCTCCTGGTTACCTCAAAGGACCAAGAAAGTTCCAAGCCCTTAGAACTAGGCATAATAGTTACTAGTTTTTATTTTAGTCTCTGACATCAGTACATCAAAAGTTGGGATCATAAAGAGCATTCAACATAACCTACCTCTAGCATTCCAGAAGCTGAAATCCTATTCATTATTTCTAACTGCACCCCTCCCTCCAGCTCATCCTGTAACATAAACAGAATCCTTTAATCCAACTTCTCTCAGTGTTCATTCCTGAATTCACTACAGGTCACCGTTCTGTTCTGGGTCAATCAGCCCTTCCTCTGTCCATGGATGTGTACCCTCCTCCTGCCCCTTCTTTCTGGGAAGGCCACTCCTGGCTGCTGCTCTTGTCTCATAGTATCTGCACAACAGCTAATCTTTTTTTTTTTTTTATGCAAGTGAGACTGCTGTAGATGCAGCAAGAGCTTGGACCCTGATTCAGAGCCACATTTTCCTACTTCTCTGCATGTCTAATAATTTCTCTCTTGGAGCTGGATTTTGTGGATTATACATGGTTGAACATTTGGATTCTGTTATCTTCCCTTAAAGAGAGTTGGACTTTACATAGCAGGCAATTAAGTTTCTTTTGTTCAGTTTTGATCCTTTTAAGATTGATTTTTAAACTTCGGCAGTCTAGAGTAGTCTAGAAGGACCACTAAGGCACGATCCTTCTGGGTTCTCTACTGATTGCCTGAAGTAATGAACAATCAATGGAGTAATTCCAAATGATGGGAATTCAAATGATTCCTAGCCCTCTGTGAGTTCGCAGCCCCTTCGTTGTCTTTTATTCTCTCCCACCTGTTATCTGCGTGTTCTTGAACAAGTTATAGAACCTCTCTGAGACTCAGTCTCTGCCTCTATGAAAAGGAGTATTAATGCACATGTTTCGGTAAGGATTATAAATAATGTGTATAATGTGTCTGATACAAAAGGAGCTAATTAAAGGCCAGCTGCTATTATTACTAATACAAGAACTACCTTCTTTACTTCATTATTTACTGACTATTTACTGTGTACTAGGCAATATGTTAGCTTGTTTAATCATTACTACAACCTTATGAAGTAAATGTTATTATTCACATTTACAGATCAGCAAATTAAACTCAGAATGGATACACAGCTTGCCCAGGGTAATAGTCAGTGGGTCTGGGATTTATTCCTCATATGACCTCTTCAGATGACTTTAATATTAATATAATCATGTGCATCAATGAACAGGACATAGTCTCTTAATATTGGGTAGCCGGAGACATAATTACATTAGTCGGCAATGGCTGGACGTTAATGGTTCTAACCCAATGATTTTAGAGATAAGTATAAAGCACCTAGCCCATTTCCTGCTCTCCCCCTTCCTACATACCAACCTCTCATCTCAGCTTTCCTTGCCTTCCTTAGCAACCTTCTTTTACCTTGCCTTACAGACAATCTTCAGGAAGGAGCAGAGCAGAAGGTGGTGTTCATCACGGGACGCGTCCACCCCGGGGAGACGCCCTCCTCATTTGTGTGCCAAGGTGAGCAGCAGGCTCCCGCGGGCATCCCGCGCTTGCGCCCAGGTCCGCTGGGGGCGCCGTGGTGGTCTCTGGGACAGCGTGGTAACACAGAATCCTTTTCTTGGAGGAGAATCTACTTCACTTCTGAAGAGATTACACTTGACCTTCACTAGGATTTACTGTCAATGACTGTTGACTACATGTATGGATGGACGAGCAGATGAATGAACGGACGGATGACGCACGAACGAGAGGGTAGGACTGACTGCCGTCCTCTAGCGTGTGCTCTGCCGAGGATGAGCCGTGCAGAGTCCTCTCCACTCCCAAGCGCCCTGTCGCTTGTTTCCCGTGGCGTGCACACCAACAGCACCTCTGGCCCCAGCCCAGTGTGGTGGGAGGGCGGGCAGTGAACTGGGGAATTCCTCACTAAAAATTTTTACTTAGTTATTTATTCAATTATTCACTTAACAAACAACCTTTTAAATACCTACCATGAGCAAGGAAGCATCCCTGGTATCAGACAACCAGAGATAAATAAGATGTAATTTCTCTTCTCAAGTATATCTCTTAATAATAACATTTTATTATTAAATATTTCATTAAAATGCACTTATTCAGCAATGTAAAGCATATATGTGCATGCATGTATATGTATCAGTCAGCAATCTATACTCAGTAAATAGTATATCAATGTAAATAACAATTTAATGAATGCCCAGCTTAAGAAGCAGAATATTGTCAATTCCTTTTACATCCTTGTCCTCCTTCCCAGCTTCCCCCTCGCACGAATAACCATCAGCTTGCATCTTGTATTGATTTTTCTTAACAGTTCTAGTGAACATGGACGCTTCCCTAAACAATGTATGTTTTAGTTTTACATGGTTTTGAACTTCATAAAACTGGTATCGTTCTGTATGTGCTGACACTGGTTTTCACCCGACATCCCTGCCAGTGAAGGTAGCTGTTGCTCACGTGTTTTCACCGTGTATCTGCTCCATGTCTGTCTGTGCCTCAGCTTACCCAGCTGCTCTCCTGAGGCAGACACCCGAGCTGTTTACTGTGTGTTTTCTGGCAAACCACGCTGATACAAATGTTCCCACACGCGCCACCTGTGCACAAGTGCAAATCCTTTCTAGGGGAGTGAACCAGGGCCTGGGATTGCTGGGCCACGAGACAGGGGCATCTCATCGTACTGGGCGTTTCTCCGCCGCAGCGGTGTGCGTGAGAGTTCCCAGTGCCCCACGTTCCCGACTGTGCTTTTGCATTTCTGCTTCTCTAGTGGGTGCATTATATGTGAAGCACACGGTACTCTACATGTGCCAAGCACTGTGATATGTAAAATGAAATACAGATTTTATTTTAGTTTTATTAATTTGATTTAATTTATTTTCATTATAGGAGTGTTTCAATGTCGGAGAAACTGATACAAACTATATTTTTACATATAAGCAAACCAAAGATTAGAGAAGTTAAGTAATTTATCTCATTTTAGTCTTGAAGTGACCATGAGGCCAAAGGGGCAGGGAAAGACAGGTTGTGGAGTTTGAGGCGGGAGCACGCTGCCGTGGAAGTGTCTGGTGAATTGCCGTCAGACAACCTTGGGGTCAGATACTGGCTCTGCCACATTTTCGCAGTGCAGCTTCAGTTTCTCCAAATGTAAAACGAATTAGGAAAACAATTCCTGTCTGAAGGCTGTGATGGAGCTGGCATGAGACGAGTGTAAACAAACACCTAGTCCTGTACTTGGCACACAGCAGACACTCAGCAGATGTCCCTCCTTCCTCGTGGGAATCTGAGAAGATGAAGCAGATAATCTGCTTTGTACTGTAAGGCACTGTGCAAATAAACATGGGGTTTATTTTCCCCACTCACATTCTTCCGGTGCTGGGATTGGGCACGACTGCCTCCACCCGTGTTTCAGGCAAGGAGACGGTTTCAGGGAGAGGAACTGACCGCCCAGAGCCCAGCAGCTCAGGAGAGGCACAGCTGGGGGGTCCCAGCTCCTGGCTCCAGTCTCCTTAGCTCACTCCCTGGCATCCGCACTTGCAGCCTCTCCCCCTTCCAGCTCTGTCCTTGCAACAACCTCTCCCAGGTCCCTCCTGGCTTTACCAACCCCTTCACTGCAACCATCTGTCTGTTACTAAACTTGGCAGCAGACCTGTTCCCCCAGCTGATCGGATGCAACTGTTTTGTCCTTGTTTGTAAAAAGGCAGTAGCCTTATCATCAATACTGTCAACTCGGGGAGCTTCAACTCCCACGCCCACCTCCTCTGTGCGCAGCAGACAGAGGGCAGGGTCACCGCCCCATTTTACAGGCGAGGCCTGAGGCACAGAGTCGAGTAGAGCTTGGGTGCTGTCTCTGTTCACCCTGCTCTTCCGAAAAGGAACCCGCTCGGGGCCAAGGTGATGGAATCAGTGCTGCCCGGCAGGCTTTCAGTCAGCATCTACTCCGTGGCAGAGCCTGTCAGCGCCTCCCCTCCAGCTCCTCGACATGAACTCCAAACTCCTCAGTGGGACACTCACGACCCATCGTGATCTGGCTCTTGCCACTTTCTCGGGCCTCAGCCTCATTATTGGGTTGGCCCAGAAGTCCATATGGGTTTTTTTCCGTAAAATAAAAGACATGTTTTTCATTTTCACCAATAACGAACTTTATTGATTTGGATATTTTTAGTATGTGGGCAATCTCCCACATGGTATAACATTGATTGTTCTCAATGAATGTCTTGATTTGATCGCTATCAACTCCAACTGGTCTACCGGACCGTGGAGCAGCATCATCCAACAAGAAATCTCCAGGGCAAAACTTGGCAAACCGCTTTTGACACGTTGGATCAGTCACAGCACCTTCTCCATACACTGCACAAATCTATTTTTTGTGTTTTTACCTTTCTTAAAATAAAAAAGCATAATAGGCCAAAATGTTGTGCATTTTCTTCCATCTTCATTTTTAAATTGGTTACACAAAAATTCAATTTTGATTTTTTAATGCATGCTGATATGACAGCTGTCACAATACAATCTAACAAAATTTTTCTGAATGAAGTTAAAGACAACTAAGTGCTACTAGAGCCACCTTACCAAAAAAAAAAAAAAAAAAAAAAGAGAGAGACAAAATTTTTGGCCTACCCAATGTATCCCAGCCCCACACAGCTTAATCCCTGAATGGACAATCCTCTCTCCACCCCTGGGCCTTTGCACCCACTGCTCCTTGGCCTGCCGCTCCTCGCCACCTGGCAGACACCTCCTATCTCCCAAGGTTTATTTCAGATGTTCTGTGGGTCTCTGGCCTACTTCCTGCAGCCCTCTCCTTCATTGCTGCATTGTGGGTTACCTGATAATCACCTTTATTACCTGATTTGTTATATTTTTGAGTTATATTTGTTTTTTCCCCTTTAAACCATGAGCTATTTGAGGCCTAGCTCTGGGTCTGCCAGTGCCCTTTTCTACATCTGTAAAGTGGGCATTATTTTGCTTATCTCAGGGGCTGTTGTGAGGAACACATGCTGTGTTGGCTTTGGGATGCTAAATCTGAGCTCAGAAAGAGGAGCCTCGTAGTCATAAAGCCAGAGAGGCAGAGGGGTCTTTAAATCTGGTCTCACAAGTCTATGCACACCCTACTCAGCAATAAGAAATGCTAGAAGGCCAAGCTGGTGCTTAGAAAAACACAGCACTCTGGACTCCCCACAATAATCAATGTGTGTTTTACAGAAGAGATGTGGAGGCCCTGAGAAGTAAAGTGGCTTACCCCAGGCCACACGGCTGATTCGCAGCAGATGCCACGTAGGACCATCCCCCCAGTCCTGCCTTTGTCTTTCCCTGTCTCCGGCTGACCTCTGAGACACACGATTCCTCCCGCTTCAGGCGGCTGGGGCCAGGCATCATTCTCCCCCTTTGCCAAAGACAGACTAAGGCACAGTCTTTCCCAAGCGTCTCTCAGCCCCCTGGGGACAGCCCCGAGCACAGCCCCACTGGACTCAGCTGAACTTTCTTCCTCAGGCTCAGCTTTCTCCTGGGTCCCCTCCCCTGCCCACCTGTTTGACGGGAGGGCAGGATGGCCCCAGACCCGGCAGGATGATGTCTGAGATACCTTCGGCTCTGTTAACTTCTTCCTCATTAACTGGCTCGGTGACCTTGAGCAGGGCAACCGACATGTGGGGCCTGGCCATCCCATCTGGCTGGGACCAAGGTTCTTGCCGCCGAGCTGCTGGCACACCTGCTGCTGGGAGCAGAGTGAAGTCCTGTCACCGCAGAGCTCGGGGAGCCGGTGGAGGTGAGGGAGGCAGGGCTGTGAGTTCCTCGAGGCTCTGCCTGGTGGCGGGGTGGATGGTTCTCGCCACCCTGCTGCTGCCCCGAACCCTCCTCCTGGCCTCTGCGAAGCCAGACTGTCCTTGTTCATCAGCTGCAACAAGGAGCTCAGCGTTGCCTCCCTCATGGCAGAGTGGGTGCAGCACCGACTCAGGAGCCGCACTGCCTGGAGTTGGATCCCAGCCCCTGCCCTCAGTGCAGGGTGACCTTGCATGTCCCCTCACCTCCCGTGCCTCCATGCCTCTATCTCAAAAGGGAAATTATCATAGAAATCCTGCCTCAGAGAGCTGTTGTGAGGATTAAAGAGTTAATATTCACACAACATTCAGAACAGTATCTGGAGTTCAGTAAGAACTAAATACATGTTACTGGGTACGGGAAGAGGCAGCACTAATTGAACGCTTTGCCGGCCAGGCACGGTTCCTCCAACCTTTACTGGGCAGCAAACCCAAGCATGTGACTTCTCTACTGGTAGCCTCCCCTGCTTCCTCGCACCTCCCTGAGAGAGCCGTCGGCAGAACCCTCCCTGTCTCCGTGCCCCGAAGACCGTAGTGCACGTCCAAGGTTTTGCCAGGACTAGACTCCAGGTCTCTCTCCTGGTCCCTTGACTGCTCTTTCACTGAAGCCTCCTCCACAATTCAGATTTTTCATGATTGAATTAATTAAACCTCCATTTATGGAATGACACTGTGGGCAAGGCACACCCCCTTCTG